GACAAATCCGGAAAACAAATGCTGAAGCAAATGTTGTACTGTTCAAATTACTGACGTTCCAAATTGGCATTGTTCAATACTGTCAATATTGAGTTTGCCAGTGAATTCCTCTCTTTGTAGGGTTTAAGAGAGAAGTTAATCGCTGGACTCCCTGTGAACAGTAACGAAATCTATTGCGAATTATGGATGCCACCGAAACCAATTTCCAATTACGGATAGTAGAGTACTGTGCAATTTCCAATTTTGAATAGTGCCAATTTTGAGCATTAATATTGTGGACTGTACAACAATTCCTCCAGCGACATCAATTGTCAATTCCGTTCTTTTTTCTCCTTTCTTAGGTCGAAATCTCTTGTTATCATCGATTGGTCAATCTAATTGGTCAATTTTAATTGTTGGAAGATATATAGTCATATATTTTAAAATAATTGCAAGAAGTTTTGAGGTTTGATTTTTTAATTCCATTTGAAAGTATATCAGATTTGCCGTCGTCGAAGTGTCGAACCTCATATCCGCAATTGATGTCGTCGATGTTCAGGTGTGGTAAGTGATTTAATTGAACCACGGGTTTGAAGACGAATGTGTTGGCCGAAAGTTACGTTATATTATCGAATGGTATAAGGTCCTATAAGAAGCTGTGTTTTGGAATGAGGACATGTAAATATAAGTAAAAAAGAAAAAAAAAACATCTTTGATTACAGTAATTTGACGTAAACATAAATTAAAACAGAAAGAAAACGATCTAGATATATATTTTACATTTTCTTATAATTATACAATTTTATCTAATGCAATTTAATAAAATTTAGAATAAGAATATTTTATGGGTGCTTATAAATTATTTGTCTATTATATTTCAACCCCACCGATTTGAGCTCGTCCCTTTCCTTCTGCTTATCCTCTTTGAGCCTATTAATTTGTGTTATACCATCTGCTGAAATAGGCTTTAACTGATTTAGAAATGTAATAAAATTGACTACCACTGTTGGTGCTTCGCTAATTGCACTTTGTGAACCTTCACCGGCCTCCTTCAATATCCTATCAACTTCGGCCTGTCTACGTAGAACTTCTTTCTGCATTTCCATAGCGTTCAATTTCAAAACCTCCAAAATACGTTTATGTATTTGACAAAATCTTTTGTATTCTTCAATCGCTAATTCAACTTCTTCCTCAATCTCCATTGGTGTATAACGTATATATAAAAAGATTCCTACAATGTGTAGTAAAACATAAGTTTCAACATTATTGTGAAATCCTACCTTTCTCTTCTTAAACTCTAAGTCGACACATTTGTACGCAAATTTCAATCGCGTACAAAAACCAAATCATATGCCATGTAATCTTTATCTATAAACTTTACATAAAATTCCATTTACACTAAATATTTATAATTGGTGAAACGTTGTTGGGAAATTGAAAATAATTGGAATCAGGATATGAATACAAAAAACATAAACAAATAAACATAAGTAGAAGATATAAATTATTCAAAATAAAGTCAAACAGTCGTGTTAAAAAAAATTAGACAATGAAAAGCATAATCCAAAACACAAATAAACAATTTATAATTCAACTTTACTGGTCCGTAAAAAATATAGAATAAAAACAAAGAACGAAACATAGGTGGAGGGAACTTGATCACCACAAACGAAACAGAGACAACTAAAATTATAGTATAGAAAACTCACTGAAACAAAGAATGCAGTTTAAATTCGAGGACGCAAGGAAGCCGAAATATATATGTATCAAGAAGTTGCTATGACGAAAGAAACGCACAAAATCCAAAATAAATGATGAAGAGGTTTGAATTGAAAGATGTAAAGTCAGGACAGAATAAAAAAGGAAAGCATGGAAGAGCTACATATATATAAGTATAATATTACAGGTGTGTAACTAATTGAAAATAGTAAGGATAGTGAATAGGTATGATGAATTGATGATGGAGTGAAGAGGCGTGATTCACACAATAATAATAATAATAATAATAATAATAATAATAATAATAATAATAATAATAATAATAATAATAATAATAATAATTCAATAAATATAGGAAATAAGTTTTATTGCTCCTTTTTTTCTGTGGTTTTTTAAATATTTGTATTAATTTGTCTTTATATTTTCTTGTAATTCCAATGTGAATCTCTATTTTCAATGTTTTTTTTCCTAGATTTACGATGTAGTGTTGTTAGTTTCCGTCTTCGGAAACTTCGAGTACTATGCCACAGCCGAAGCTGCAAAAGAATTTATCAACCACTTTTAATTCTTTTTTATTTTGGAAATTGTTATTATTGAAAAGAATTTATCAAACACTTTAAATTATTGCGTAATTTTTTACGCGGATGATCCAGCTGATCAAGATTACAGAAAAGATGGTCACATTAGAGCATTGCAAGTGAGATTGCTGATAAACGACTCCCACATCGGGTACCTGTAAATATAGCACCCCTTTTCAAATCCAATTACATTATTTCGGTTATATCCCCCTCAAATTTCGGTAACCAATGTTCGGCTTTTTCCATCACGATTGTTAAATACTTCTACCCTATAATTAAATTCTCTTTTCTCTTTATTTAGTTCCTGAAATATTCCATATTTCTCCTTTAAACTTCTCCATTACCTCTTCTATGAAACTCCTGTAACTCCTTCAATTATGATCTAAGGAAGTTTTAGAAAGAGAGAAATGGGGACGTTTGAGAGATAAAGATGAATTAATTTAGGAACTAAATAGTAGAGGTAGAGGATTTAGCTATAGATCCGAAGTATTTAGTAACTAAAATAGAAAAAGCCGAAAATTGGTTATCGAAATTGTAGGGAGACATAAAAAAATGGATGTTCTTGGATATCGAAAAAAGGTGTTACGTTTACAGACAACCAGTGTGGGAGAACTTGGATGCCGATTTAGAGATAATGGACTTTGTTTCGGGTTTCATTGTTGAAAAGAAGGAAGGTTTGAGGCAAGATGATGGAATAGGTGTAGACAGAAGATAGAGGAAATGGTGGTTTAAATAATGGATGGAGTGATTAGGTTAGGAGGAGTGAGAAGGTGAATCGGTGGAATGAAGAGGTGTAATTTGACAGTTCGATGCATGTATCTGGCAATAGGAACGCGGAAAAACACTCTGGAAATTTGAAAGTATAAATATAAGAAGTTGTCTGGGGTTCAAATAACTTATATTTGGGCCCAGTCCACAAATGAAAATAAACCAAGCTCAATAGGCAAGGTATAACCTTCTACACCCTTACCAAGTCATACTCATTAAGGCCCAATCAAACGGTGGCCCATTTAATTCCCACGGCCCAGTCCATTAAATTGGAGGAAGGTATAAATACTCTCATTTTATCTTAAACAAACTCTCCTGCATAGCTTTTCTCTATTGTTCTTACATCCGTACTGATTTTGGCATCGGAGGAGCCTTCCTCGACACACTCCCCGAGGCCAATTTACGTTCGTTCAGTTGTGCAGTAAATCCCGAATTCGTTTAGAATTTTATCTTAATTAATATTAATAAGCATCTAAATAGTTCGTTCTGCTGTAAATATAAGAAGATATTTTTAAGAAGTAATATCTTAAATCTTATTATATTTATTGAATTTTCTCTTATAACTTTGAGACTACGCAAAGTCAAATATCCGAACACTCTTATTTTATCTCAAATACATTTGTCTGCAAAATTAAATACCTTAGAGAGTGGAAAGAGTGGATGTTTTCTACTTATATGCCCTAAACACTTCAGCCGAGATACATTTTAACTTACCTCAAACCCTAAACCTTAAACCCTACTTAAGAATTAATTATTTGTAAATTAATTATATTATATTATATGCGAACACTCTTATTTTATCTCACTGCTATCATTACAACTTGTGAGGTATTATAACTTGGTTTTGTAAATGCATGACGAAAACACGCACTTAAGAATTGCACTTACATTTTTCCTCAATTTAACACTGATGTTTACACCTACCGAATAGGCCATTTTTATTTTGGTTGTTATACCTTGTTTACCCTGGACAGTATTTGTGGATCTTATACTTAGTACATTAGTTCAGTGATGACAAGTTATGTATTATATATATAGTGATCGTGTTCCACGTTAATTCAAATGATTAGTGAAATAATCTAAGTAATGCATATAGTGACTGTGTCATAATTATTACCGTTGCTTGTTTTACATTTGTCATTTCTCCCCACTTAAAAGAAGATCGTAGTTAAAAAAAAGTAAAAACAATAAGCAAAGTCAAAAAAATGATGTAAATTAGTTTGGCGGGGGAATGTTTTTCACTTATTTATATGAGCTTCCTATCTCCACCTTCTCTGTGACATTAACTTCCGTGCAATAACGAAAAAAAAAACACTCTGCGTACAAAGTTTAATCCTCACTCTTACAGATTTCTGAAAAATAAAGGTACTAAATTTGTATGTCTGAAGCTTAATTTATATTACTACAACTTTGAAGTTCGATTTCCTCTTTTTTTTTTTTTTCTTTTGTATTACCTTGTTTTTTAACGTTAATTAACTTGTTTCTAAAGAAAGAGAAAGAAAAATGGTTAAGCGTAGATGTAGACTTTGTTTTAGGAAGTTCGTAAGCAGGAGAGTTTTAGTAGAGCACATGAGAGCTCACATGCTCGATCAATCTGTGTCGCACTTTTTACCATCGGGTGATTCAGAACACGGAATTGCAACACGTGATCATTATGAGTTCTTGGTAGCTGAACCGACTGCATCATCGTCAGTTGTTACTCCACGACACAGAGAAAGTGTGATGGAGTTGGCTGGGAAGAAGAATCATCGTACTCGAAAACCAAGATCAAAGCGAATTCTTCATACACCAGCTTCTTCAACTTCGATCGACTATCGTTACTTTGGTCCTCAACAACGACAACATTACGTTCGGGGTTAGGGGAAATCGAGTGCGGTTGACGTTGAGGCGGACTTGTCAATTAGTTCAACTACGGAAGTTACTACCGAGGAAGACCTAGCGTTTTGCCTCATGATGATGTCGAGGAACAAATGGAATAGCTCTGTTGGTGAGCGTTCCACAATAACATCAAAGAACAAGATGAAATACAGATCGTATCAAGCATTAGGGGGCCACAGAGCAAGTCATAAGAAAAATCGAGTCTATGATTTTGAGCAAAGAGTTAGTAATTCTAAAGAAGATGAAAATCGAGCGGACGACGGATCGGATTCAACGACGACTAAAAGGGTTTATGAATGTTCAATTTGTAAAAGAGTTTTTGCTTCTGGACAAGCTCTTGGTGGTCACAGAACGTCTCATCTTTCTGTTTTGAATAATGGGATTATCCATAAGTATAATTCATGTGATAATAGTAAGATAACTAATAATACTGCTCGTCAGGAATCATTGCCGAAAGGCATAGAGGGGGAGGCCCCGAGTGTTCGTACCGTAAAATCGATGATGATAAAGAAGGTCCATGAATGTCCGATTTGTCTAAGAGTTTTTGTTTCTGGACAAGCTCTTGGTGGTCATAAAAGGTGTCATGTTCTTGTATCGAATAATGAGGTGGATCATATCAATAACTTATTCGATAATTGTAAGATAACTAATAATACTACTTGTCAGGAATCATTATCACAAGACATAGAGGGTAAGGTCGTAAGCGTTCTTACTGTAAAGTCGACGTTGGTAAAGAAAGTTTACGAGTGTCCAATTTGTGGAAAGGTTTTTGCTTCTGGACAAGCTCTTGGCGGTCACAAAAGGTCTCATTTTCTTGCTTCGAAAAATGAGACGAATCATAATAATAACTTACTTGATATTAGTAAGATAACTAAGAATACTACTCGTCACAATTCGATAGATTTTAAACTTCCCATCTATTCTGGAGATGAAGATGAGTTAGCCGTCTCTGATGTTCATTTATGACCTAATCTGAAATGTTTATATCTTAGATTGCTGAAACATTTTGCTGTATATTTATATATATTTAAAATAACGATTGCTGTTTTCTTCTCTCTCTTTTTTTTTTTTATTTTTTTTTTCTTCGTGTGTGCCGAAGTTATACTTCAACAATACCAAATATCTTGGACAGCTTTGTCAACGGATTCATTTACATGAGTGTTTGTAATTTTGGTCAGACGTTGTACTTTGCAGTTGCTGAATTTATATAATGGTTAGAGCTTTTCGTAATCCTAAGTGTGATAAATTGATTAACGTTTTGAATTTTCTTTCCGAGGCTTGCTTGGGTCAAGTAAAAGATTGTCTATAGCTTGGTTACTATTGATTTTTTTTTTCTTTTTTTTTTTTCTCTCCGGACGATAACACTCAGTTACCGGAATGTAAGCAAAGTTTCCTTTCTTAGGTTCCCGAATCAAGGTATGCCGCTGACTAACGAGGTTAGCCTAGGTAGTGATTTTTCTCTCTTTATGGCTGAAAGATTTTCTAATATCGAACCTATGTTAAAAGTTCAGGATATTTAAACTTATATAATAATTTATATTTGAACTCCATGAATAAAATTTTGTTAAAGGTAGGGTTAAATTTAAATATGTATCTCAGATTGCTGAAACATTTTGCTGTATATATATTTAAAATAATAATTGTTAATTTCTTCTTTTTTTTTTTTTTTTTTTTTTTTTTTTTTTTTTTTTTTTTTTTTTTTTTATGCCGAAGCTATACTTCAACAATACCAAATATCTCGGACAGCTTTGTCAACGGATTCATTTACATGAATGTTTGTAATTTGGTCAGAAGTTGTACTTTGCAGTTACTGAATTTATATAATGATTAGAGCTTTTCGTAATCTTAAGTGTGATAAATTGGTTAACGCTTCGAATTTTTCTTTCCGAGGCTATCTTAGGTCAAATAAAAGATTGTCTATAGTTTGTTAACTATTGTTTTTTTTTTTTTTTTTTTCCTCCTCCTCCGGACGATAACATTCAGCTACCGGAATGTAAACAAAGTTTTCTTTCTTAGGTTCCCGAATTAAGGTATGCCGCCGACTTACGAGGTTAGTCGAGGTCCAATCAGCGATTCATAGTTGTAAGGCTGGATTTTTTTTAAAAAAAAATTTTGTAGATATGGCAATTAATTTTTTGTATGGGTTGTTGGATTGCCGAAGGTTTGTGTTGTGCGCGGAGAGGTCGAGACCAAGGTATTTCAGCTACATGTGATATTAGTTTTGTTTTGACTTTCATTACTTTGATTTCCGTAACAGACTAACATAGCACACTAATAAAAAGAATACATGAGAAAGAGTAAGAAAAATGGTTAAGCGTGATGTAGAGTGAATGGGAATTATTATCTTGGAAACGTAAAGACAATTTGGAAAGTGAATGCATTAAAAACAATTTGGAAAGTGAGATAAAATAAGAGTGTTCGCATATAATATAATATAAAAAGAAAAATGGTTAAGCGTGATGGAAAGTGAATGGGAATTATAGGGTAGAATTCAATAATCATGTACAGTTAAACCACATTATAAGTAATTAATGAAGGCGTTTTAGTAAAACGGAAATAATCCCATTTTTTTTGTTTCTAACGTGTGTTTTACATCTTCAGTTACCGTGGTATAGATGCAGTAGTTCTTATATGTGGAAGTAGGTATTTCCAACTTTTATGAATGCACGTTTAACGTTGTATGTTGTGTCTTAATTTATATCTTCAACGCCATTTTTTTGTTTCCCTACATGTGGTCCACGTCTTCAGTTGCCGTGGTGTAGATGTAGGAGTTCTGATATACGGAAGTAGGTATTTCGGATACAGATAATATTAGTTTGTGCTCGGTGGTTGTTTAAAATTTCGAAGTACGTATACAGTGTCTGTGTTTCATGTTAATTCAGCTGATTAGTTCTTTGTAGATACGGCAATTAATACTTTGTACAGAGTATTTAGTAGGAAATTTAAATTGAAAATTATATGATTTTGAAACAGTTATTCAAAATATTATTTATTTGTGTGAACAACACTATTAAAGAAGAAGGGGCTCAGTGGAAGCAACTTAGTGCCGCCGAATCCGAATGATGTTTCTGCTGTTATGGGCCTTGGATAAAGGGTCCTGTGCTGGGACATCAATAAAAGTATACTTTTCAATGTTACTTTTATTAATTTAAAAGTATATTATTTTTACTGTTGACTAATTAATCTTAATATTTATGTTAACTTATAATTATGTTATCAATTATAGCTTTTTTACTTAAAATTACTCTTATAATTACGGATTGTTGGGTTGCCGAGGGTTTGTGTTGTGCGTGGAAAAGTCGGGACCAAGGTACTTCGGCTGCGTGTTATATTAATTTTGTTTTGACTTTCATTACCTTGAACTACGATTATGAACTTTTATGAATGCACGTATAACGTTGTATGTTGTGTCATAATTTATATCTCCGGCGCCATTTTTTTAAAGAAATAGGTATTTTTAACTTTTATGAATGCATGTTTAATGTTCTATGTCGTGTTTTAATTGATACCTTCGGCGCCTTTTTTTTTTTTTTGGGTTTCCTGCGTGTGCTTCGCGTTTTCAGCTGCCGTGGTATAGATGTAGTAGTTCTTATATACGGAAGTAGGTATTTCGGATACAGATGGTATTAGTTTGTGGTCGGCGGTTGTTTAAAATTTCGTAGTAATGTATACAGTCTGTGTTTCATGTTAATTCAGCTGATTAGTGAAATAATGTAGGTAATGATTCAAACTCTGACGGTACCCGCCTAGATCTAACTTATAACCATTCATTGTTGAAACGTTAGAGTAAATTTTTTTTTGGTAGATTCGTTGAATTATTTGTTAATGGTATTTTTGTATGATAAACCTCCGGGAACTCCGTAGTGATCTCTGATAACATTTACCATCGCAGGTGTTCTTAGAAAACCTACTAAAATTTTAGATTCTCCAACAATTCTACACTGGAGCAAAATGTTCTTAAAAACATTGTTCTACAAACATTAATGTAAAGAGTCTTAAGCAAAATATAACTACCAAAGAAAAGTAAGCCATGGGAGAAAACAGGATTCCGAGGTAATTTGGTTTATCTTATACCCCAGATTCTGGTTATATCATTGTTTTAGATTTATCTTGTCAGCCTCATGACTTTCGTTTGTACTCTGATCTGTTGTTGTGAAACGGAGTTTTTTTTGCAACTGTACTTTTGGCACAATCCAAGCTGCTTTTGGTGTCTCCAATGGGCGCTAAAGTTAGGGGAGAATGCTTGGTTCCACCTTCGCGAGCACGACAGAGCTCCGTCCATTCAACGGTTGAAATCTTCGAAGTGTTGACAGCTTCAACATTGTTGATAGCATCACTATGGCTTCCATCCGTTATAACAATACCTGTGAATAGGGATGTATATACATATAAACTGTCTTGAATGGTTTTTAAATACCGTAGAGGATTTTATTGGTTTTAATATACCCTAATATGTGGTAAAACAAGTACCTTTTGATGACATCGGAGTCTGTCGGAAACGTATTTCCGAAATTTTGTTTTTTCCTTTGTCCTTCCCTTCTGGAATTGGCATTTCATCGCGTGTAGTTTCAACATTTGATTCTGGTATATTAACTGCGGCACTTTTTTGGTGTTTTGTTGGTGTAAATTCTTCATTCTTATTCAAGTTTGAATATTCATGTTCATTTCTAGTTGTCCCCTTTGTTGGGTCTTTTTTAGATACATCTTCGGCAGTTCCAACAACTTTGAGTGACCATTCCAACACGCTACTTGAACCAAGGGAATTGGATGGACCGAGGTTTAAGAAAGTGGGTTTTTTGCGGAGCTTTTCTTCAATTTCTCGAAAGGCAACCACATCATCCTAGATAAACAATTGCAATAAATACACGTGTCACTTATTGATAAAGAACACTAAGTAGATGTTTTAAAGCAGCTGACATTTATATGTAAAATATAATAAATGTGTTAGAATTATACAAGGTCCTTCATAGTTTTTATTTCGGCGGCGGTTTTTCCAAATAATTTCTCCGTGTCATTGTTAAACGATGTTAATGTTATTGAACCTGTTACATCAACCACTTCGAATTTGAAAGCAACCCTGTTTAATTCAAAAACGGTAAAGTCATTTGCAAGGTATTTACCGTATAATGTGAATTTAACAACTGTATTTAGATATTTAATTATAATTATTATTGGGAAATGATTTATAATACCTTAATATATATAAATCATATTTCAGGGTATTACTAAATTTTACCTCTCTCTCATTATATAGAATTTAGGTTTTAACAAACCTTGGACTTGAAATACAATTTCTGTTGTCACAGATAATGCACGTGAATTGTCTTCCTTCCGGAAAGCTGCATTTTCTTCCACATCAAGAACAGCCCGTATAGACAAATATATTTTCTAAAGCAGCATTTGGAATAATTGCCTGAACCCAATGTCTTTCCTCCATCAACGCGTTTGCAGCCTGCATGAACGTGTTAATATAATATCAATATTATACAGCCCTATGTAGTCACTTAACAATTTTGTATACCTTTTTTTCTTTAAGTTCTTCAATTGTCTTCATGGATTGTTGTTGGGTGGAGTCCCTTATTTGTAAAACTCTCGCTTGTTTGTCTAATAGTAGCTGTTTTTGGGCAACCACCCTGTAAATATGTAAAGTATGAGTGTCGAACAAACAGTTCCTATACATTAGCATTTGTAGTTATTATAATTACCATTCACGTAACATATTCGCCCTATCTCCTTTAGGGTCGTGAATAATTCTCGTAGACATGGTAGTTGACAACGCAAATGCTGAAAAGCAAATGATATGTTAGTCTTTAAAACTCTAGATTGACATTAAGTGACTTACTTTGTTCTTTAATTTTTCTAAAGGTGTTTAACCTCTACGAGGATTTTGTTTCAGTGCTGTGAATCCGACTACGGTGAATCTCTCGGCCCAAAAGTTAAGCGCATCACTCGCAGTTCCCGAGAGG